TGTTTACAAGCACAAGAAGCATACTCAACGAATTGTAACGTCGGTCTATCTTAGCAGATCTACACATTAACATCAGACTATCCCAGTAATCTGCACATCAAGACTTCCAGTGATCATCGAAAAGCAATATCGCAGCAATCTGCACATCAAGACTTCCAGGGACCATAAAAAGCAACCTACACATAGGGATCACCGGAAAGCAATCTGCACATCAAGATTTCCAGGGATCATCGAAAAGCAATCCGCACTTCGTACCCCCACTAGCAGCCAACACCGACCGAAACCAATGTACAAATTCACCATAATTAAAAGAATAAAGTTAGTCCTAATCTTGCCATACGTTACGTACTCATTATTATTTGTCATCTACCTTATAATTAGTTATTTGAAGTTAGAATACGTTCGACTGTCAAGTAGCAAGTCTCAATTTTCGAATAATCGTAACAACGAGAACTCAATTCGTTCAACTCGTTGAATTTGTCGAACTCAAACGGCGTGCAAATATTTTTTTCTTTTTTCTTCTTTTTTTTGTCTGGTATCTTTCTCGTGACAGAATTGTCAAACTCAATTTTCTCGGAAATAAAGCCCCGTATAAACAAAAATTGTATTCCTTCTTGCCGATTGTACCACGATTTCGTGAACACGCTGTATTTATTATCGTTGGTTGTAATTTAATTATTTAATTCCCAATGTAGTTGAATTCATACTGTATTTCTTCTAGATTTCCCTTAACATATCTAAATCCGATGGGCCTACAAAATTTTCTAGAAGACGTTCTTGAATTTTTCCAAAGTACTATTTTATTATTGGAATTAATAAACTCACATGTCATTTGTAGGAGTTCTAATGATGTTGTTAATATATCTGAACTACTAAGAGATTAATATTTTGTGAGACAAATTTTTGTTTGTATTAACTATGTCCTCCGTTGTAACTATATCCTCATTTGTATGTGACATTTCATTTAAGGTCCCTATTATTCAGGTTACAAATATTTTATACTAAAATTTCATTTTTACCTTCAGTTCAATAAAAAAGTTGCATTAATGACACGTTTGCGTAATAAAGTACACTTGCTCTTTGTTAATTTTAAATCCATAATTAAGACTAAAGCCTTTCGCAGCGAATATGTCTTTATAAGACGAGAATTCTATGAATCACTTATCATCTAATTTATCGTTTTTAAGATCCTATGTGAGTTTCCTGTTGCTTTTCTTATTACAGAAGCAATTTGGCGTTTCCCATCGCCTCTATACTCTAATTCATTAGCGAAGGCTAGATCTTCTGAATTTGCCAAATTTACGAGATTTTTAACTTTTCGCATTTTCCTTTCTCTAGTACACGAATCAAATGTTTTATGTAAATAACCACCAACATTTGTTGGAAAGTTTGAGGTATTTTGTAATCGTGACAAATTATATCGCTCTTCTAACCATTCCGAATACTGTTGCATAAATTTAAATAAATCTCTATTACTATGTTTCAACCTATTGAATTCATAGCACGTATAATTCTTTACAGATTTAACAACATCTATATCAATATATGACAATCCACAATATACAAAAATATAATTTAATAACTTTGCTTTACCTTTCTCAGAGTACAGTTGTAGAGTATCGCCTTCTCTTAACAGCTCAAATAAATCATTTTTCACAATCACTATTTACAACAATTGTTGCAAATTATTATTAGAATAATAGTTAAGTAATGCAAGACAATAATGTAATAAAATAAAAGATAAAACTGAAGATAGAAAAATAATTAGTTTAGTTGCTTTCAATGGAGAACAATAATGAAATAATACAGAGTCAACTCAAAGACGTCCTCACACGAGGTATAAATGCGCGTATTTATGAAGTTGACTAGAAAGACCCCAGTATATATACGTAGCGTCACATGATGCTAGCGATGACGCATGCGTAACGGCCAAGCGAATATGTGGGGGATAGGCTTACCAAATGGTTTGAACGAAACATATCTGCAGGTCAGCGTTAATATACTTATACCAATGAAAATGATAATAATTTCTAAAAGGGCGCAAATGGGCACGTGAATCTTTGCACGCAATAAATCGAAACGTTACATTATCGAAGAGAACAAAAGTCAAAATATACCTATGTATACCTTCTTTTCGGCAGCCTCCTAAAAATCAGACTTTACATCTAGCAGTTACAAAATATGTTATAGAAAAATGTTATAAATACTTATTTAGAGTATAAATGTGTACAATACTGGTGTATATTATATGTAGATAATATCGTTATCAACCCTTTGCGGACGGAGCGGTTTTGAATAAACCGTGCCGTAGGACCGAGCCGCTGCCACAATAGTCATTCAAAACTACCAACGCTCATTTCTGCTTAACCCTTTCGGTACGAGCGCCGGATATGTCCGGCATCCATCTGTCTAAAATTTTATATAAATATCGTTTAATATTAAAGTTACAAACAATACTTGTTGGAAAGTGTTATTAAGCACAGTTCTTATTTAACGCTTGAGAAAATCTTCATACAAAAGATGACTGATCATGTGCTATGTGCGCATTTTCGGCACGGCACCCCGTACAGCGGGAGTGTTACGGCGGACAGCACGCTCGTACCGAAAGAGTTAAACGCGATTTTCGTTCATAGCGACGCTGACACTAAGGACATAAAACTGTCCACCACCTAACTTCGGACGTGTGGGTCCTTGAGCCGCAACAGCGAGCGCATATTTGCGTTTCTCCACCAATGTAACGCATTTACGTGGGACACATTTATGCATCCCTCGGCCCAATCGGTTGTTTTCGCCGAACGCATATAAGCGGCACTCGTCCGCAAAGGGTTAATACGTTAAACGCCACGCCGGTTGCTAGGGACCGACGCTAAAATTTCCATTCAGGCCTCACCGGTCCGTACAGACTTTTCGTTCTTGTTATCACCGCGCGCGTGTCCGTCCTTGCGAATTGGGAAGGGTCCGCTTGACGGCTAACTGTAGCGTGAACAGAACGACACATAAAACCGGCGTGGTGTTTAATATCTTAACCACTTACGCTATAAAGATGTGCCACGACATCGAGATGCTTTTGTTCCAAAGCCGTCAGCGACGTGTATACGACGTCGATAGGCATTTGTCGCAGAAACAAAAACGACGTGTCCGTCACGTCGGCTAACAGTTAGATCGCAGACGCGGTGCGGCGTCAATGTAACGCCTTACCGTATGATATATTGTAGAGCGTTGCACGGCAACCGAAAGTTAAATCGTAGGGCAAGTGGTTAAACTACATATGGTAAACGTGCCTGTATATACTATGGTTCACAAAAGTATTCGAACGCTATACAAATTTTAAGGGAATACTGAAACTAAAAATTCCGATATTAATGAAAGTATACGTATACGTAAAGCATAACGAGTTACACATGGTTCAATGTTTTTTATTTGCAGATATTGTTTCACGTGGGTGGAAAGTTACAATCCGATCTCTGTTTTTTTAAATGTAATTGTATAACGATGCGAGATAAAGAAAAACTTTTCGAATAAAAAATATTTTACTTTTAACTCTGTCACTCTATAGTAAGAATTTTTCCGTGTGAGATCCCGCTTAAGCATAAAAAAAATTGTTAAAACTTTAGTCGTTGATTTTACCTCCTCAAAGTTATTTTCTGCAAACAAATAAATTGCGTAAATCGTTAACTCCTTATACCGTACGTGTACATGAACTTTCATTAAAATCAGAATTTTAGGTTAAAAAATTCCTTTAAAATATAACGTTCGAATACTTCTATGACCTACCGTATCTATGACCACCACTCGGCTTCAGTTTCCGAGAAATTTGCAAAAGTTTCTATTCTCGAAAAGATGAGCTTCAGTGTCAAACTTAACATTGCGATGATTTGGAACTTGAGTTTGCGTATTATTTAATTATAGTTTAATGTAACTCAATCTAATCTAATCTAATATAATTCATCCATTGTTATTATAAATTAGATTAGATTGGGTTAAATAAATATCCTGGCCGCTATTAGGCAATTGCTAATTATAATACGCAACGGATAAATACCGATATCTGCAGTATTTCATTTTCTTTCAAATCTTTACATTCGCTAATTGTTTCCCTTCGTGGAAATCTGTAGTAGAAAGCGAAAATTTATTAAAGATTTCATTTTTTTACGTTATATATACACCAAATAGGTATATGGATGTATATGCAGTAAAAAATTTTTGCACACACTTAGAAACTTAAACCGAATAGCGATTATAAACACGGGGTTATTTGTTCGCCAATGGACTCAAAAACCGCACTGCCTATTCAAAGAACCCTTATATTGTATTTCAAAGTTTACAACTCACACATGGACGCACACAAATATAATTAATGCACACATTCGTCATATTATCGTATAAGAACATAGGACCTCTGTTGCAATATTTAGCGGTATGTAGGCGACGATACTGCCTCTGAGTCCACTAGCGAGTGAATCACCGTGTATAAGAAAAAGTTACCAAACCGACAACATATTTCAAGATCATTGATATTAATATCCCTTTACAGAGGAAACCGGGCGAGAACTCTTTCCAAGGCGTGCACTCTTTTCTAAATAATTACTGTCCAACAAATTTTAACTTTTTTTCCTTTTTGCAATATACAGTAAATGATCCTTGCAGAGTTTCACGCCCTAAACATAAATCCCCAAGCCGAATTGTTAACTCGCTCTCAATTTTCAAAAGAAATCGGATTCTTGTAAAAACCTTCGATTTTAAACAAAAGCAAAGTACTGTGTGAAAATTATAAACGTTAGAAAGCTGTGATTGATTTCAAATGACAGAGGACAGATCCCTTAATACATCGGTATCTGTGATTCTAATACTTTGAAGCTTTGAATGACTATAGTCAATTCTTGAGATATCGATATTTTATTCTTACCATGTATAACACTAGCTAGCCAATACTTAATTAACACAACTTTGTGATATCTTATCTTATACAACTTTGTATTAAATTTAAAAAATGTACGTACCAAATGAATTGTAATGCTGGAAATAACTTTTCTTTCAAAAATGCTTCATATGCCATAACAGTCGCACAATGTTTCCGAGATAAATCGTATTCTGAATTATAATGTTGTTGTCTGAAAAATGCTATTATATCTTGGACTGCATTGAACGTATCATTTTTACACTTTAATACAGGTAACCTGCCATTAGGTGTATTAAATGGATTAGCATTTGCGTTAATTTTCAGAGGTATATCGTTAAATTTGGCATAAACCTAAAAACAAGCACAGATAAAATATTAATTAACACTTACTCATTTGTGATACTGTTTTATTAGCAGATTGTGATAACTAAACGCCAACTAAATTTTAGCTATTATGAAAAATGAATATTTGAAAAAAATATATTAAATCTTTTAATTTTTTACCAAATTATGTATAGAAATTATTCCAAAGGAATGCACTAAATTTTTACTGAATACCAAAATAAAATTAATATCAAAGAAAAAAAAAAAACTGTCAGCAAGTATCTTCGAGCATACATACGTATAATAACAAAATCACACAGTATTATTGAACCGATGTACAATATGTTAATATAAGAAAAGAGATATGTAAAGACAATATTAACACGTTGACTACCAACTATGAGATATCTCGTAAGTTGTTTACTTGCCCAGGACGCCTACTACGAGTTATCTCGTCCCTTAATTACTTGCCATATTTGTACAGGTACGAGGAAACCCGTAGTATAATAGTGTAAATATGAATCGACGGCATCAGGAAAAAAAAGAAAAAATCAGGTTAATTTTGAAATTAACGACAAATTTGATTATTAATATGTATCTATGATACTATAAATGAAGTTTTTAATAATATAACATGATTAAATCAAATTGGCTTCTTAGACCGGAATCGTAAAAAGTTGCGTGGCAATCAACGTGTTAATGAATCTGTGATAATGTTTTATTCCTGATATTCTTTGAGCCCAACTTAAATTGATAAAATATGCAATGTAACAAAGGTATATAAATGCAAAAAAGCTTAATGTTTCAATAGATATTTCTAAAACTTGAAATTCGCATAATGAAATTTTAACATTCATAACAACAAACGTGTGAGCAATATCTCTCAATTAATTTTTACATTATATTATTTTATAATTATTATATCAAATCCTTTACAACATAATAATAATAATAATAATTAGAAAGGTATAAAAGGGAATAAACATGTTTGCATTATCATTTTCTGTTTCGTTTCTCAAATATACTCTTATATCATTTCCTTTATGTTATAAATTTATCAAATGTGCCAAACATTTCAAGTATATAGGAATTAAATTTTTATATTATTAAAATATATCTTTTCTTGCAAATGTTTGTTTGACATTCGTGTTATATGTATTTCTGGAAAGAAGAATTTAACAAATGAAATGAGAAGGATGACGAATGAAATGAAAAATGGAGACAAGACGTGTTTAACCGTTTGTGTCCCAAGCAGCGCGATCGCGCTGTTCAGATTACATGTCGGGAGGGCCTAGCACATTTCGAGCATTCTTGGAGCGTTCTCGACAACTGACAGTGCGTCACCGACTGTCCACGTCGAAGCGCTATCGCGCCACTTGACCATTCATTGCCATAATATAAACGAAGCGCTATCGCGCCGCTTGGGAAATTCTCGACATAAAATAGAAGAAGCGCTATCGCGCTGCTTGGGATTCCTCGACATTGCTTTTTCAAAACCCTATGGGACTCAAACGGTTAAGAAGTGCTACTACCGACAAAAATAGTTGTGACTTATATAAAGAAAAGTTCTACTCCAAAATTAAGATGTCTAAAAATTAGTTAATATTCAAATCGATGAAATATCAGTTAAAATTTCATCGTCATATTTGTTTTTACTTAGACTAAAAATTTACAGAAAATTGTAAAATAAAAATAAAAATGTACCATCTACACAAATTATTAGGCATTAATAAATAAATCTTTATAATGAATTCATTTTACAACATTTAACAATCATTTAAAATATCAGTTGTTATTATATTTTATTATACTAAATAAATAAGAAAATAATAAATAAGAATTAGCAAGGTAACGCAAGTGAACAATAAGTCATCACTTTGGTTGATCAAAAATCAAATTTTTATAAGACTTAATAAAAAAGAAAGAACTGACTGAGATCATATTCAAACCGATTTTCTCGACAACGAAGCTTATTCTTATTCTTTATTTTCGATTTCTTCTGCCACATAGCACATATTTATTTGTAATCATTATTGTTTGTTTCTATACAAGGTAATTCGTGTTTTAAAAGATTCAATTAGTACTGCTAAAAAATTTAATTCCATGAATCATTTGGAATTCAAGATTATTCTAATTTCGAACTAGATGAAATTTAAAGCTAAGATAAATATGAAATTCAATCTAGAAATTCCATTAAAAACACAGTAAGTTATTGAAAATGCTATGCACAAAGTACCAAGAACTTTTCAAGATACAGAATGACAATCCACTCCTGAAATACGCCCGAGAAATAAGTTCTCAAACTATCATAAAGAAGTAACAGAAATCAGGTAGGAAAATCGCTGCAAAAAGATGACAATTGTACAAACATCCTGATGATAAAAGAAAATTCAATAGGTCATGCAAAAAAAACTAAAAACCTTTTGTTTTAGTATAAAAAGACCAAAAGTGAGACGAGTTCGTAACTGTAATAGAAGACGTAACGAAAATTGTAATAGAAGATGACGCCTATCTTATTGATCAATTCTGGTCGTTTTCTCTCGATTCGACGTAATCTTTTCAATTGTTGATAATAGATATTAGGATCAATCATTTAACCAGGCGTATTAGACGATTCCTTTCCAATTCACTATACACACAGCACCACTATTCTTGGAATCAATCCTGGCTTTGTCTCCAATTACGGAGCCTCCTTGCTTTGACTACGATCTTTTTCGCACATTATTATTGTAGTTGTTGAAAATAAGATACGTTTTATCGTATCGAATATACAAAAATTAATCTGTCAAGAAAAATAGATATATCTTTAAACTATGCGTCGAAGAGGTTCCGGGAACGCGTGAAGTGTTTATTTCACACGTTAGATAAGAATTAGGGGACCAGGACGAATTGCAATCGCATACCCTTTTTCTTCACTCTAGATTTGACTCTCTGAGAGAATAGATATACCTTCCTCGAGAGAAATAATAAAGAACATTATAATATAACATAACTATTTCTTTTACCCATAATCCCAATATACGTCACCCACTTTTTATCTCACGTAATGAACCGTTTCCAAAATAGTTCAATTTCGTTCCGTTTCAGCAATGTTCGCAAATGGAAATTCGATTTATTTAATTTTTTAATTGTTTTACAATCGACTCACGAAAGCGTTAATAATGATACACAACACGTGTCCGAAACTCGCAAATCTCATCTCTTTCACGCTCATTCTAACTGTCCAAAATAGACTGCCCGTTTCCATTTCTCGGTGTCCTTTCCTTTCCCACTCGTACGTACACTCGTACTATGCGTCACCAAGCACCCAAAAACTCCACGTCCATTCTAGGAACTCATTTGCTTACCGATAATTTATCATAAACTGTTCCCACACTCGCCATTCGCTCGGTGCAATCGCTGGATCCACTCGTCCAAAATATTTTCGATACTACACTATCAATAAAAAAAATAATAATAAAGATAGATACATTTAAATGGTAGATTTATTAAGTGTTGCATTTTAATCGATTCACTTCTATCTTTTTTCTAATAATATCTTGACGATATACAGTGCTGGACAAAAGTATTGGCACAGCATGGTTGTGTAGTACAAGTGCTTATAACTACTGAACAAATTGATTTGAAGGAAAAACCTTTTGACATTCATTTATTATCTATTCTAGTTTATTACATAGTAGAAGCAATAATATAAATACATCGATTCACGAAGCAATAACAAAAATGCATTTATTGAACATTTTATGGGTGGACAAAAGTATTGGCAGTATTACTCGAACAAAAACGTTTAAGAATGACTTGGAATTAAATATTAATATTTATTTGGCCCTCCTTTCCTTGTAAGGACTTCCTTTAATCGTTTGGGCATTGAATCAATAAACTTTTTTGTAAAATCCGGCTAAATTTTATTCCATTTTTGTAAAAGATCATTCTTCAAATCGGTATATATGCAGTTTAGCGGCTTGCCCTAAACGCGTCTTTTTCCGGTTTTTTCATAAAAGGCTTTATTTGAGCCTCAATAAGAAATATAAATCGGGGGAGCTTGAAAAAGTTACTAGTTTTTAGACAAAAAACATAAAATTATTAAAAACTGCAGAATGCGTGAATCGATCCCTATGATTTTTGAACATGAGGACGAGATTATGAACACCTTTTATCTGAACAATAATTGCCGCTTGGCCTTAATTTCCGAGATATTTGTAAAAATTGTTTACACTACCGCATTGACTCCATCTGTACGTGTGCCGTAGGCATGTCGAATCAGTTCCAAAGAATCGCTTATCGTTTCCTTCTATAAACAAACCCCGGCGAGGGACAAAAACAGGACTAGCTAGCACAGGCGAGCGTATATAACGGGTGGACAAAAAGATTAAATTTAATTAATTTCAATAATATGTCAATCTAGATTTTTTTCACATGTTAACTAAGCAGGTGTGGTGTCGCAAACGACCCTCCGCTCGTCGACGACAACATAGTCTAACCTAACCCTAATCCATTACTTAATTTACTGATTAATAATAAGATAGATTAATAATAAGATAGATTAATATAAGGTATTTGGCTTAGTCAAGTAATTGGGGTAGGTATTTTTTCACATTTGTTTTTTAAACTGAACTTAAAGAATCTTGTGTCTATTTAGAAAATATATCGTAAAAGTACATTGCAATAAATTAGAAATGATCGAGTAGAACATCAAAGTGAAACAAATTATATTAAATTATATTAAAGAGAATAAGCAACATTACAAAATAGATTCATCAAAAAACTTAATTTTTAATATTTTACTTTGTATTCAGTTTAATATTGTTTAGTTTAATATTATTTATAACATTAAATGTATACACTACTATCAGAAAGACAAGGAAATAAAGAATTAAATGCTCCACATTATCTTAATACTTTTTTCAAATTGAATACTACAAAATACTGCGATGTGACAAGGACTTGGTTAGGGGTATGGAAGAGAGCGTGACGTGTGCGAGAATGGTGTGAAATAAAAAGCGAAATTAGAAGGTAGAAATAGTGTT